ACCGATCATTACTTTGTTGTTGGCACGCTGCGCTGTAAGAAATGGAGTACCACACGAAGATCTGGTGGCAGAAGCAAGCAGAGAATCAAATGGGAACCACTGTCTTTGGTGGACACGAGGACGAAATTCGTAAACAACATCGCACGACAGTTTCAACAGAATCTGAGTTTAATTTTGAAAGCATCCGTTTAGTGATGTTTGTTTGCCTCCCCCTCTTTGTTTTGTTTCAACCTTTGTGCTGGTCATGCTGACAACGCGCAATTAGGTGGGATAAAGTGAAGAGCAGCAACACGGGACGCTCGCATCGGACAGCACGGCCACTGTGGTGTGACCACGTCTGACTAACAAACTGTGCTTGCCGTTCGCAAGTGAACGACTTGCTATACGTGCCTGGGCTAAGCTTCCTGAACCGTCGCTGAGTAAATTCCTTGCTCAAGAGAATTCACGGTCAAGACGGAGACTACTCTTTCTCGGTACTCGAACCCGGTACCTTAGGAATTCGAAACCAGATTTTTACCACTGTACCACCGCGCCCCTTTGGATGGCACTGCATATAAAATTAAAGGAAACAAAATTTTTTACAGTCGATTCATCTGGTATCGTTTAAGTTGCACACTACGCTGTTTTAGAAACGAATAGAATCATAAATTGTCCGGTTTATTCCAAGGGATATGTTCGACAGTTCGTTTTTAATACACCCAAACGAAACCTTAGTGCATTCTACCGGTATAAAAGCTACCATCAAGGCATACTGATGGTTCTACACCGGAAGCCGAAATATCGGGCAACTATAACAGACTGTACCGCGGCGAAAGCCGCTGCTATATTGAAAAGGCGGGCAATTTATATCCCAGTGGGTGCCCGTGAATTGCGAAGTCTACAAACATCTGCCGAAAAAGTGTCTGGCCGGAAGGAACGCACATGTTTTCCTTTTACGGCAAGTTGTTGCATATTCTTAACTTTTCCTCAACTATGTATCTCATTATTTTGACTTCGAAACTCTCTGCAAGGCTTGAATATGTTGCTAAGTTTACACAGCATTCGTATAAAACGCAATGACGCCGTGAAGAATGAATCATACGAGTAGTTATTACATCGGATTACATAACAAAGATCTAGGGTCGGTTGTATAAGCAGATCACAGGTACACGATTTGAATAAAGCAGCTGCTGTGCGAGGACTCAAGACAGCATCAGTATGTTGACTCGAACAGGGTACATGTTCGTGGCAGCAACGGATGTTCTGTTGCTCAGAGAATATACACAGTCGTGACACCAACATAAATGTCTCACCCAGGAATCACGCTAACATTAAGTTGTCATCTCCTGCGACTTTTCCGGATTTACGCAATGTAGTCGCACCGTCGCCTTGCTCCTGGTAGCCTAGAGAACAATTTACGCAAACAAGTCACGGATCCATGGTACTTTAGCATCTGCAGTGCGTCAGCTCAAAAGAGCAACACTTTTACGGGTCGAACTCCAACGGATTTACCTCGATTCCTGAACCCGTATAATAAAAATCAACCCCGGTATTAGGAATTTACCTGCCAACTGCCAGTAAGAATAACAAGCATCTGTCACTGGATTTTCAATAACAATTCTGTGGATTTACATCGCGTAACCGCATTGCCCTTTTGCTCTTAGTAGCCTAAGCAATCGTTTAAGGAGGCCACGACTTCATGACATTTCAAATATTAGGTACAGTATGCAAACAGGTATTTCCGGTGCGATTTGGAGGAAAAATGATCCATAATTACCGTCGAAGCCAGGGATGGTTGCCTGCAGAAAGCAACGAACGCCGACACGAGATCAGTGCCAAAATGACTAACGAAGCAACCAATTCCGCAGAACGGCAGCAGATAGGCAAGCGCCGTGTACTTCTGCGCAACCATCGGATCGGCGCAGGCGACAGTATTTAAAATCGTCATCATGAAAGAGCAGCGGTCGTCGACGACTCTCACTCCTCGGGTCGAGCAGGTAGCGCAATGCATCTTGCAGATCAGACGGATCAGGTCACAGCAGCGCCATCGAACCACCTGAAATTTGGAGGGAAAATAAGCTCACAAAAATAAGCACAAAAGCTTCTCATAAAGTGATCTGACGCTGCCGTTCAATGATTAGGTGCAACATATGTCGTGTATCTGACCGCGTGCATTCACCCGCTCGTAAACCTTGCTCCTGAACGATGGAGCCAAGCTTTGGCAAACTCCAACAACGAAAAACACCTGCAACGACCTATACAGTCCTCGATCATACAGACAAATTGCACAGTAACATCCATTATATTTGAAAGCCTGGATTCATTACCTAAATATCGCGCAGTGACAGACTGACGGCGTGATAGCAAAGTGCACAAGAGGTCGGCTTCGAACGTTGGAGGTGCTGAATTCGATTCCGGCGGACAGCAATCTTTGTCGAAATCACGAATTCCCTTGGACAAGAAATTTTCCACACGTTCATTCAGGCAGGGGTTGCTCAGTCGGAAGAGGGTCAAACTCGGAAACGAGAGAACCAGGTAAGTACCGATCTGGGTCACTCGCCTGAGTATTTTCTGATGCTGATAAATGAGCACGACTGTACAGGAAGAAAACAGGAGACTACAGACCACGCCAAACAATTGCTGTACACAGTGCTTCCAAAATAAGGCATTCCAGGTTGATGACATGGACATGAAGATCAACGCCCGCCCCCACCACTGACTTCAAGAAAATAAGAGCGCCAA